ATAAAATGTCTACATTGTGTTCATTCTGCATAGTAGTCCATTTGTATTTCATGTATTATATTGTGTATTTCTGGATAATAATCATATTACTCCCAGCAGCTCTCCCCTTTCCACTTGCCAGAATTGAGTGCCTTACTGTTTTCTACCAGCTGTTTACTCATTGTTTTTGACTCCCATCCAACCTCCTTCCTCCACATTAACATCACCCTAAGCTCTGACTCCTGCCGGAGTCAATAGGAGTTCCGGCTCTCGCAAGAGCCTCACCTATCGCCTTCACCTTCCAGTTTCCCCTGCCAGTGTCGAGTGTTTCCGCTGCATCAGTTTATTTATTCTTTATAGTTATTCACCAGTATCGGCATTGACATGTTTATTCTGCATAGTAGTTCTATAGCATTTCATGTTCTGTATTTTGCATAGTAACCTTGTTACTTCAACAGCACCCCCCTTTTTCTCTCCCCTTACCAGCGTTGTGGGCTCCCGCTGCATTAGTATCTTTCTTATTGATTATTTTGCATATTATGCATAGTAATTGTATAGCATATTTTTGTTAATTACAGCTGTTTTTCTTCTGCCAGCGCTAAGTGCTTCCGCTGCTTACTGCATTTTATTATGCATAGTATTTCCCTAATGTTTCATGTTTTGATTTTATTGTTAATATATTAAATCTGTGTTAATACCAGCTTCCTTCCCCTCTCTTTCTCCCTGCCAGTTTCTAGCAACATGCCAGCATTGAGTGCTTCTGCTGCATAGCAGTTGTATATTCCATACAGTAATTTATATAGCATTGTTTCCTCCAGCTTCTCTCCTTTGTTTACCCCCAACAGCTTTTTATGCTTCCGCTACCAAATCTCTTCCCTCCTCTTAAACAGCCAGCTCCACACCCTTCATTATTACATCTCACAAACCTTCTCTTAAGCACCGACTCCCGTAGAGGGCCCATTTAAGCCCCAATTTACACACGAGTCTCCACCCACCCTCTAAGCCACTCAGACTCCCTCAGACTTCCTAACGTTATTTCTTAGCCACCAAGCCCACCCTGCCCTTCACACACTCCCTAGAAAGCTTTTCCCCCACTTTTTATCAGTTCTTCACATATATATCCAGCAGCCGGATATAGCACTTTTTCTTTGCACTTTGGGGAGTTCCTGTGTAAACACGCGGCTGCTGTCCCGAGCGCTTATCATTGGCTTTTTGGGGAGTTTGAGATAGACCTGAGCTCAATCTCCACTCGCCCTGCAAAAGGGGGGGAGCCCTGGGCTCGAGGATCCCTTGAGCTCAGGGCTCTCTCCCGGGACAGCATGCCAAACAAGCTATGTATAAATCATGAGCTAAGTGTGAACTCTTGAAGTGAAGTTTAGTTTTAAACTAATTTCGAGAGAAGCATGTGCTCATGATTTACCCAGCTGGTCCACATTAACTAATTATGATCCTCCAATCAAAGGATCCCAAACCACTATATATATCCTCATTTCCTTTCTACAACTATCTTCGTCTGGAAGAAACCCCCCCTCCTCCCCTTCTTCCTCCTTTATCCAGAATGGGCGGCACGGTGGCCCAGTGACTAGCACTGTTGCCTCACAGCAAGAATACCAATGGTGTTGGGTCCTCGCTGAGCCATCTGGTATTTCTGTGTGGAGTTTGCATGTTCTCCCCGTGTCCGCGTGGGTTTCCCCCGGGTTCCCCGGTTTCCTCCCACCATCCAAATGTGCTCTATATTATAGATAAAACAAGCCTAAACCTTTTTTATAATGTCTTACTCTCAGGAAGTTCGCCTTGGCCTCAGCAGCGGGGGAGTGTGAGATAGACCTGAGCTCAATCTCCACTCGCCCTGCAAAAGGGGGGGAGCCCTGGGCTCGAGGATCCCTTGAGCTCAGGGCTCTCTCCCGGGACAGCATGCCAAACAAGCTATGTATAAATCATGAGCTAAGTGTGAACTCTTGAAAAAAGAAAGAGGAAATATTATGTACATCCAATCCATTCCAGGGAGAGGAGGGAGAGTTCACCTCCTTATCAGAGTTCATTTCAAAGATTATTTAACTTAAGTTAGCCACATAACACTGTTTTACTGTAAACAAATTAATCCTAAACAGAGACTGGCAGCACTATGGATATACACACTCTCGACAATAGGCAGCATGGGAAATGTGCGGGCCAGGAATTAAAACCAGTACAGCAGTGGTTCTCAACCATCTACCACATTTATTATTTAATGTACTTTGTTTGTCATAAAGTGCTTTGTGCTGCAAGTGACAGCATTTTGAAGTTCGCTTTCACTTGAACGTTGGCTCTGAATTAGGGTTGCATGATATTGGAAAAATCTGACATTGCGATATTCAGTTTATCTGCAATTCAAGAGTTCACACTTAGCTTATGGTTGATTATTGATATGGTTGATAAGTGTGTTTGGCATGCTGTCCCAGAAGAGAGCCCTGAGCTCATAAGATTCTCTAGCCCAGGGCTCCCTCCCAATTTGCAGGGTGAGAGTGGAGTTTAAGCTCAGGTAGGTCTCAAGAGCTCCCAAGCTCATTTGAGGCTAAATACAAGGGATCGCTATGGAGAGATATACTGTTCATTAAAAGCTCGTCTTTGTTGCCAATTTGGTTTGGTCAATTCACTTATGACGCATGTTGGGAGAACATGTAAACTGAGAAGAAATGTCGACTGGCCTGGTAAGGACTTAGACCAGTGACATTCTTGCTGTGAGGCAACAGTGCTAACCACTGAGCCACCATGCCGCCCTATTAAAGAAAAGGGCAGAGTAGGGGTGGAAGGGATTCATCTGATTGGTGAATCCATGTGTTAGCTAATGTGGGATCAGCTTTGTTCAATCATAAGCACGTGATCCTCTTAAAATTAGTTTACAAATAAACAAATAAGTTTTGCGAAATATATAAAATTTCTCTTTATGACTTGAAAACTGCTTTTTTAAAAGAATTTATTCAGTTAGGATAATTCTGTAGGGAAGTAAATTATGTTTAAAATGTAATTGACAAATTACAAGCATAGATTGAATGGTTGAATGGTTTTCAGGGCAGTCAAATAGTGTTCAGGTACAGAAATTGAATTATCGAATGTAAAATAGCTCTGCAAAAGTCTTTAGTGTATAAATAATTCAATAAAATTATCCATTATTAAAGTAAAAAATAGTCAAATGACTTGTGCCTGTCATGTGGGTGTTCTTCGGGCGCTCTGGTTTTCCCCACAGTCCAAAGACATACGCTATAGGTGAATTGGGTTTGCTGTCTGTAGTGTATGAGTCTGAATGCAAGTGTGTATGGGTGTTTCCCAGTGTTGGGTTGCGGCTGAAAGGGCATCCACTGCGTAAAACATATGCTGGATAAGTTGGCAGTTCATTCCGCTGTGGCGACCCCTGATTATTAAAGGGACTAAGCCAAAAAGAATATGAAAGAATGGATGACTTGTGCCTGAATAAAGTATTGAATAAAGAATAAAATAACTCAGTCAGGCCCTAAAAACGAATGATAAACTTCCAATCCATTATGGTTGGACTCTGCAATAACCACACAGTTCTCAAATGTTCTGAACTGTTTCACCTGGTCAATTATAATCATGACTCAACATTGCAGATCCTATGATGTGACTATTGCGATATCAATGCTGAAATGATATATTGGTTAGCTCTACTCTGAATAGTGAAAACACCTCTCAAAACACTTTTATTGAATGTAAAAAAAATTATGATCGACCAAAGTTTCAGAGGCAGCGTGCATTTATTTTTCAATGTGCGAAAATTTCAGATGAATATAACGGATTCAGTGTGCAATGAACTTTAACATACACAAATATTCCAACAGATCTCCCAAAAGTAAACAATGAGGAAGAAAATCCAGCAGACAACATGATGCTTGTTAGTATGAACTGCACTGGCTGATTTTCTCGCTAGTTATTATATATTAGCTATTGTGCATCATTTCAGACACACTATTCATTTCAAGAATTAAACACAGATGCAGTTTGAAAAATTGTTTAAATCACTGCAAATGGTAAAGATCGCAAGTCACTTCAGATGTTTGTCTGCAAGCTGCCATGGAGCTGTTGCTAAAGCACTGTAACCAAATACTGGTTTAGTCCAAAAATGCACAGTATTTTTGCAGTTGCATTTCCTCGAGTTCAGATCATGTTCTCACCACAAAGGAACCTCTCGGATGTTCATTTGAAAGCTCTTCAAGCAGTTTCTGTTCGCTTGTTTAAACTTTTGGTGTACACTCATCTAAATGAACTGCACAAAATGGGAAAACAAACTCGATTAACTCGATTTAAGTGTGATTCAGTGATGCAAGTGTGAAAGAATTCTAAAGGCTTGTATATGACAAAAATCTCATATATCACATATATCATAGAAGATTATAGTAAATTGAAACAGTGTCAGTTCAGTTTTCAGTGTTGAAGTTCAGTTTAGTTCAGTTCAATGTGGTTTAATATTCATTGCTGAGAGTTCAAACACCGAAGAGCGAATCCATCGAATCCATTGATATATGTTATTATATTTTCATTTTGTTTAGAACTTAAGGACAAATGTTGATTTAAGAATGTAAAAATATAAAATAAACACAAAAACTAATGATTACAGGCCCAACATTTTTTTTAAAGTGCTAAATAAAGTGTAAATACAAAGCTTGCTGCTTTTTAACCATGCTGCTATTGAAATTTCTTCATATGTAAGATTGCGTTTGATGAATAATGAAAATGAACTACCTTAACCTGTGTATTTTGTGACACCATAAATCAATATAGCAGGGATCACCAAACTTATTCCTGGAGGTCTGGTATCAAGCACACCTGAACAAGCTAATCAAGGTCTTACTAGGTATACTTGAAACACCCAGGCAGGTGTAATTGGGCAAGTTGGAGCTCAACCCTGCAGGGCACCGGACCTCCAGAAACGAGATTGGGGACCCCTGCAATATAGTTTTCATTTCATCCATACAATATATCAGTCATATTACACAGCCTTAATTTCTGCATTTATTTTCCTATAGCCCTCTGTGCAGTTGTCGCCTGCTCGTGGTTTGCCCATAATGTGATCCGAGCATTCTACAACCCCTTCACTCCAGTCAACACCAAGTGAGTGCAAAGAATTTTATTTTGCTCAATATCTGGAGCAAAGTGTCCCAACTCTGTTCCTGGATGTCACCCAATAAGACACATTTTGTTTCTCTTTTTCTCTTCTTCTGTTGATGAGTTGAATTGGGTGGGATTGATTTTGGAAGCATCCAAAAATGTGCAGCGTTGGGTAGCTTCCAGGGACAGGGTTAGGAAACACTTTCAAATGAAATGATACAGCAGGCGTGTGCAATATTTATCGCTTCCCATAATATGGTAATCGTTGTTTTCAACTGAAAATATCAAGTCAACAACAAACAAACAAAAAACACATTTTGAAGGTCCAAAAGCACTCACTTTGTAAAAAAAACATAAAAGAATTCAGTTAGAATCTCTCTGTAAATCAAGTTATCTGTAAATTAAGTTAAATTAAGTTTTGTTTTGATATGATTTCATTAAGTTATATCACACAAGCAGAAGTTCATCTTTATATGTATAAACATATATATATATATATATTTTAAACAAGGTGCACTTTCAGATATTAACCTCAGCTGAAAGTATTCACTTAGATCTGTTGCACTCTGCATGGAAAGTAATTTTCAAAAACCCATAATAGGGGCTCTTTAATATGTTTTTAGTAAGTTTAACAGACTCCTAATTGTTTTGTTTTAATGATGCATGATAATAAATTTGTATTTTGAAAATAACTATTTTTTTCATACTGTATTCCAACGTTTTAATTTAAAAGTCTAATCTCATAACATTATTTATAGAACTTTAATCACTTACTGTAGCTTAAACACACATTTCTAAATAAACACACTGTGGTAAAATAGTATGGTAAGCACTTTGACAAAATTGTAGGAAATATTTTGGTTGCATCAAAAAGTGTGCTAATGCAGCAAAGAGTAGTGCTTAAAATGTCACTAAAATTAAGTATTTGAAGCTTGTAATTTAATAGACATTGAGGAAAATAACTGCTTAAAACTCTAAAAAATAAAATAAAATAAAAATTCTCTCTTTTTTTGAGAATAAATAACCACCCTTTTGAATAGGCTGGCTATTGACCTGTCTCTTTAAAACCTTTTCTCTTTCTTCTTTAACATTAGGTTTGAGTTTGGAGCAGCCATTTTCATAGCTTGGGGTGGCTCATTTCTTGATGTTCTCGGTGGAGCCATGTTGGCTGCCTCTTGCCCTCGAAGTAAACAAGTGTCAAAATATCCTAAAAGTAACTCTACACGATCAGCCAACGGCAGCAACAAAGAGTATGTGTGAGCAAGACTGCCTCTCACTGGACAGACATTGTAACAGCTTCAAAAGGTGAAGACTTTCTTCAGCAGAATAATCACTGAGCATGCTGTAGAAGAAATGAGGTGAGAAACGAGAAGGAAAACCGCTCACACTGTTGAATGTTCCCTTGATAAAAAAGTGGCAACCAGTTGTCTAAAAGTTTGAATAAAAATATATATTTACAAACTCTATGGGAGGTTTTAAAATGGAGGATTGTAGAAATCTAGCGCCAGTAGAAATACTCACAGCCCTCAGTGCTTCAGCTAAGTTGTTTTATTAAGGAGGAGAAACTTTTGATAGTGGGCCAAATATGTCGGCGTTCCCAAAGTGTCCACTAGGGAGCACTAGAAACAACACAATGAGCTAGTGTTTCCTAAAATGGGAGAGATTTCCCAAGCTTTTGTTTGTGGAGTGTTTATCCTACAACAGACGAAGTGCTAACATTATTAACACTCACATGAGTCATTGTTGTGTAGTTTGATGTAATCACAGTGTTTGAAGTATTATGAATCTTCTTTCTTTTACTAAACACATTTCTGCATTAACTCACACTTGTCATTACTTTACCCATAAGCCCTTTTGAATACTACATATAGTACTTATAAATGCTTCCCGATAATGTAAATGTTAGTTAAATATTGTTCATACATTTGTGTTACATGCTTATTTTCAATAAATTTGCTTTCATCCTATTGTAGTGGTTACAATTGCTATGGGGGAAGAAGACTATGTTTGTGTTTCAAACATGGGCTCAGACGTCTGTGCTGAAATTTGATATTCAAAACGTAACTTAAGCTTGCATATTAGATTTTTTTAATTACACTTAAGATTAGATTACTGATTTAAATAATCAATGACTGTTGAAATTGTCTAGAATGTTGTTAATAATTCATTTTTATTATTAAGTATGTGCTGCATTGTTTGTCAGCCTCTTTAACGCTTGTTCTCCTTAAAAGCAGGGTGAATTCTGATTGACTTAGAGGCGCCGCTGGCCGGTACGGGTCCTATGACAACAATGTAATGTCATGTGTATTTATGTAGCGCATTTTATCATGTATGGCCATACACCGAAAGCGCTTTACAATCATGAGGGGTATCTCCACACCACCACTATAGTGTGTAGCATCCACTTGGATGATGCAAAGGCAGCCACAGGACAACGGCACCAGTGCGCTCTCCACACACCAGCTATTGGTGGAGTGGAGAGACAGTGATGCGTTAATTCAGTGGATGCATTGGAAGGCCATGACGGTTAAGGGCTGAGAGAGGGAATTTGGCCAGGACACTGCGGTTACACCTCTATTCTTTACGAGTGCCATGGGATTTTTAATGACCACAAAGAGTCAGGACCTCGGTTTATCGTCTCATCCTAGGAAAATGTTGTTGTTGGGGGGTGTCGCGGACGAATGCCTCATTTACACTATAGCAGCAACTTTGTAGCTGCCTGTTGCTCTGGGTGGCGACCTGCTGCAATTGCAAGTCTGTGTAGGTCTAAGGCACGTAGATCAACAAGCCTCTGAGTAAGCTGAGAGAGGATCACGTGAACTCTATTGGTGTTCCTGTTGGCTGTCGCTCAAGAAAGTCTCTCTTTATTTGCATGAAATTGAAGGTATTTTATCTTTGTTGCATTGCTCGACACCCCCACCTGGTCGCCCATAGTCGCTCACGTAGACAGAGGTTGCCGGAAGTCGCTGAAGTTGTCTTTCCACTGCACACGACAAGCGACAGACTGGAAGTTATTCATTTCCAATAGAGAGTAGTACGAGAACTGTGTGATGTTCCGATCATCTCCATATGCGTAAAATTTGGATACGATTTAAACTCTTATGACTAGGCTGTATGCGAACGGCCGACTGGATATGATGTATTCCAGTGTTGTCCAAGCAGGTGATGAGAAATAGTAGGGTTTTTTTCGTTATTTTTTGAATCAGAGAAAAGTCTATATATTTTTAAACAATTATTTAAAAAATTTATTTATTCATAAATGAGGAATAAAAATAGCATTATATTTAATATTTTCTCCACAATTTAATTTGATTTTTTTGCTGTGCATGAGTTTCTAGTATTTTTTCATTCAACCATGGTAAACGGACTGAGAATGCTTTTGCACTCCTTTATTTCGGACACTGCGAGAATCAGCTTCTCCTCCATGGTGCACGACAAAAATGTAAATTCTGTGCAGCTGCCACAAGGGGGCGTATTCCAGCAGTCATGTCAAAATGTCATGTGCAGTGGAAAGGCGGTTTCACTCTCCGTAAGAGAAAAAGCGAGAGGGTGCTCGCTGCAGAGCCATTTGAGGAGAGCTGAGCTCCAGCGAGGGGGAGGATGAGCTGTCGCTCCTCCTCCTGTAAGCTGTTTTAATGCGTACACCAACCCCACCCCTAACCCTACCCCCAGTGACATCACTCGTAGAAGAAGTGCAAAAAAGGTGGGGCTCAAGCTTAAGCTCCCCCTCGCTGGAGCTCACCTCTCCTCAAATGGCTCTGCAGCGAGCACCACTTGGAAAAAGCAGCGTTTCCATCCAACAAGTCAAAGTAAACAAAATCGTCACTTCCTGATTAATTGGCACCAAGTATCAAAAGTAAAAACAGAATTTACTGCAGTAGGAGGCTGCGTCAATCTTTTACTTTATTTAATAAATGACTTGTGCCTTTATCCGCCTTTCCACTGCACAATAACTTTGTTGGTTTGGTTTAGATTTGGGGAAGGTGTAGACATTAATAACTATGGTTGGGTTTAGGGTTGTGGTAGGTATAGACGTTAATAACTGTGATGGTTGGATTTAGGTGTGGAGTAGGTGTAGACGTTAATACCTGATGTAAAGTGCCATCTTTACAGCAACATAGTTGACTTCAGGTTTGTTGCTTGTCATTTGTCGTGTGCATTGAAAAGGCGGCTTCAGAAGACAACGCCAACACGCAGTGAACGCATGGGGGCATTTGAAGGCATCAGACGCGGAGCACAGACGTTCTTGACAATTTTTCAGGTAAAATAATATAACAACATACTGAAATGGTTAGGGTGTTTTAGAATGACCAAAGCAACATTTCAGATGTTTTACAATGTGCTGTCTGCTGGTTTGTCCATTCACACACATTTTTTTTTTATTTAATGCGCATACTGGAATTTGTTCTGTAAGTGTTTTCATCATCTTTTCTTATCGAATAAAGAGTGCACTCTGTTGTGCACATACGTTTTTATGTGCATTTTCAAAACTCATGCACATCTTGCCATTTTCTTTAAATGATTTTTAATGAGTATATTCAACATGCGCATAAAAATAGGCGAGGGAAACATAGCTATTGGTCAGCTAGATATGATCATTTCTGAAAATGTTTCTGTGTTGATGCTGGTACATTAAAAAATGCTGGGTTCCACACAATTATTTTATGTTGTCCCAACACATCGATGCAGTAGGTAGTGCTGTCGCCTCACAGCAAGAAGGTCGCTGGTTCGAGCCTCGGCTGGGTCAGTTGGCGTTTCTGTGTGGAGTTTGCATGTTCTCCCAGCGTTCGCGTGGGATTCCTCCAGGTGGTCCGGTTTCCCCCACGGTCCAAAGACATGCGGTACAGGTGAATTGGGTAGGCTAAAATGTCCGTATTGTATGAGTGTGAATGGGTATTTCCCAAAGATAGGTTGCGGCTGGAAAGGCATCCGCTACATGAAACATATGTTAAATAAGTTGGCAGTTCATTCCACTGTGGCGACCCCAGATTAATAAAGGGACTAAGTCGAAAAGAAAATGAATGTCCCAACACAATTTGATTAAGTTAAGCTAATTATTTTTACAAATTTAAGTGGATTGAACTTAAAACAATTAAGTTGTCACAAAAAACTTAAACTCATTTTAAATAGGTAGTCTAAACATGCAGCATGAGTTATTTTTTAAGTGTATTCTTTTTATACACAATTATCATTATAATCCTTAGTGTGAAGAGACAAACATGAAGAACAAGCCATTAAGTTACTCATGCATACTTTATTACTCCCACCCCACTGAGCTTCCCCAAAACAGTTTACAAAAATTCATTAATTTCCATGCAAACATTTACAATTCAGAACCACTTTAAGAGCAATGCACGTTTAACCAACATATTTGCTCAATTTAGAAGATTTGATTGTTCTTCACCCAGTGTGCATCTCAGATTGTACTCGTTTCAATTCAAACTGAAATAAACAGGCACATAATAAGTGACAAAAAAATAACAACTAACTAATGCCATTTACAGAAATGTCAAGGTAGACTTCAGTTACCAAGGTAACCACAGGTCTTACCAAACGGCGCGTTACACGTTAACAGAGTTTGACAGGAAAAAACGTCCTCTTTGGGAGATGAATAATCCAACCTGCTGAGGTTAGCTTTCGTAAATCTGCAGTAAAGTGCAAATGTAATAAATATAGCCCTGTTGCATTAGAGGTCATCAATATCTTCAAGAAGAAGAAAAAAAACACCAGACTAAATCACTCAGTGCTACAGAAGCACGTCGGTTAAGCATAAAGTGAACGGAAAGCCAAGTCCGCAGTTCTCTTGTTTGACCCTGAAGCGGTGAAAGCTGTACGGTGAAGGGTGATGATAAGTGAAAACGTGCGAGAGGGAGATTTTAGTTCAGTTCAATTCTGCAGGCCCTGCTTTGGTGTGTGTGTTGGCCTCTTTAAGAGTTTTGGCACAGTCAATCATGCATCAGGCAACAGGTGAAACTCTTTGAGAAACCGGGAAGCTTCTGTTGTTGTTTATGATATCGTCCAAGTCCTCGTCCTCGATAACCACTGAAAAAGAAAAAGAGAGGAATGAATCAGTTGATGACGGAGTGGAAACCAGTGATGGTGGTAGACGGGCATCAGGTGAGTGCAAATCACTTTGGTCGGTACAAGATGAACTTTCCTACAAACAACTCTGGAAATAATTAAAAGACCACTTGACAACTCTCAGGACGCGCTGGATTTGCTAGGGGTTTGGTGTTAATATGTTTTATTCGAGAAGGGTCTGAGAAACTTTCTTCCCAATAAAAAAAAAAAAAAAAAACTTGTTTATATTTTGGGTCAGATAAAGACAATAGGTAAAAATAACGGATGTTTTTATTTGTTGTCATTAAAAATCAAGGTTGCTTCAACAACAAAAAAAATCTAAAATTTTTTTACATTTAATTTTTTCTGGAAACATTGCTTTGTATTGTCTACAAATTAACACAAACTTGTATGTTTATGAAAACCTTTTTCTGGAGAAATCCATAGAAAAATTATCATTTAAGTGGTCTATTAATTTCTTCTAAAGCTACAGTATCATATAGCTATAGTATCATAATTGTACAATTGTGTGTTGTGCAAGTTGAATAATTTTATTTAATGATAATAATAATTTTATTAATTTTAACAAATTCAGAAATTAGTTTTATGAATCACCATATATCTTGTATTCAGATCATTTTTAAAGTTCTACTGAAGAAAATAAGATTTTTTTTAAATCTGATGGATTCATAATAAATAAATTCATGGCAAATCCAGATTTGGGTGAACTATCAATGTTGCTAAAAAAAAAAAAAAAAAGTTTCCCACTGATAATTAAAATTTGTAGTAATGGTCACATGTTTTATCTTTCCAACATGACTTCAACACACCATTAGTCAGTGTTATTACTTCCCCAAATTATTTTTAATAATAAAAGTAACACTTGTCTAGACTAGAAAATTTAGCT